GTTATTTGGCAATATCGATTAATAATCGATCCGTAATTGATTATGCGACAACACTACAACTTAACTAGTAGAAATCCCATTGAAACATGACTGTTTTCATGTCGTTTCTCTAAATGGTACCTAGGTATGGTCCTACGCTTATAATGTAGAACATGGTTTAAATATACCATTTGTTGGCCCCACTCCTGAACTGTTGGACATAATAATGGATAAATAACTTAATGTATTTAAAATGTAAGTAGATAAGTATATTCATTAATAATATTTTTTGTTTGCGTAATAAAGCACCTATTACTATTACACATTACGTCAATTTCCAAGCAAACCCGGGAGTTTTTGGTAGTTATTTATATGAAAATATATTTCTGATATTAAGTCCTAACAAATAATAGTAGTTACATTTCTGTTGGTTTTACGCCCAGATTCCATAGAAAAGTGCCCATCATCCTTTGCAAAGTTACAAATGTACCATCCTAGACTGCATCCCACTTAACATCAGGTGCGATTGTGGTCAAATACCTGCCTTGTTATGCATAAAAAAAATGCCAGCTTAATTATTAGCAAGTTGATGCTCACCGGTGAGCCGCATGGCGTTTAAATTAAACAAAGCATCTAAAAAAGTTAACTGTAATATTTTTATAAATGCACTTCCCAGAATGAAAAAAAGTAGAAAATCGCATCATGTGTGCTAGGCTTAGCAGCAAAACTTTTAACCGGCATTTGAATAATGCAAACACACTTTATCTATGTTGATTGCATAGCTAATTGTGACCAAACAATATCCTTTTGTTACTGTAAGACCTAGTTTTTGTCGCGAAATACAGAATTATACAACATGCTTAAACAATGGCCGAACGCTGCCTACATTTTATGTTACGACGTTTGTTTTCGACTGGAACTTTCGTATTTTGGGTTTTATGGGCGATATTGTAAAGGTGAATGTACACGGTGAACTACGGGTGCTCTAGTTTTCAAACTTTTTTGTTTGTTCTTCTTGTCTTTGATATAAGACGCCCAAGTCTCTACTAGACAGTGAGACAGATATTCGCTTTCGTGATCGATTCGCTGCGTCTTCAATAGGGAACAAAAAATGTTTATTAGACAGGTGAGATTTATATTTAATATAATACTAAACTACTATACTAAATATATATAACTCAAAGGTGACTGACTGACTGACTAACTGACATAGTGATCTATCAACGCACAGCCCAACCACTGGACGGATCGGGCTGAAATTTGGCATGAAGGTAGACGTTATGACGTAGGCTTCCGCTAAGAAAGGATTTTACGAAACTTCACCCCAAAGGGGTTAAAACGGGATCCGAGCGTACGAAGTCGCGGGCGGCCCGTAGTTTCTTTATACTTGTTGCACATAAACACTGTACAGTGGTGGACTTAATGCCGGGTGGCATTCTCTATCAGTCAAACACGGGTCAAGCTGAGAGAGTAAGGCGGTTATCATTTCTCTAATACAGATCAGAAATGTGACTATCGAACGTAAATCGAATGGTGCTACATTGTCTGTGGTCATTGATATGTCTAAACTTAGTAGAGACAAATGAATCGATGCAACACTGTGTGCTCTACGCGAGAATAGAATTCAGGCACTTTGTGCTGCGTTGTTTGTATAGTGTGCGGTCACACTTGCTAATTTGAAGGCTGCATTAATAGATATCTTAAATTTTAAACTTTCGCTTTCATTTTCAACTAAAATAGATGCTTGTGACCTGCTGCAGCATAGCAGCGGAAATGTCAAGCCCTGGGTACATAAATGTAACTCATATAATAAAAAGTCGCGTTGACACCCGTGTATCTTTATTTTAGTTAATAAATATCTTATTAACTTATTTTAAGGTTCTTAGGTTGATATCGCGAATTTGAGTAAAATTAAGTGCGTCTCCGCAACGATAGATGGCGCGTTTACAGAAAAATTTGTATATTCTCTACATAATGTCCCATTACCGTATTCTTACATATTTACAATGAAATTTACCGACTTCCTAATCTAAACCATAATGTTTGCAATACAATAAATATAATTTGTAAGTAAGTGGACTCCGAAACATTAATAAAGTTAATCAATTTGTTAGTGCGAAAATTAATTAAGTTAGTCTGAAAACATACAACAATCCCAACTAATATTATAAATGCGAAAGTAACTCTGTCTGTCTGTCTGTCTGTTACGCTTTCCCGCTTAAACCTCGCAACCGATTTTGATGAAATTTGGCATAGAGATAGTTTGAGTCCCGGGAAAGAACATAGGATAGTTTTTATCCTGGTTTTTGAAACAGGGACGCGCGCGATAAAGTTTTTCTGTGACAGACAAAATTCCACGCGGGCGAAGCCGCGGGCGGAAAGCTAGTACTAAATATAATTACAGTCCATCTTCAAAAATCTCTATTTTAAATAAATAAATCTTTCTTTATAAATAAAACTTCCTCAAAAATCTTCCTACTGTTAGGAATTAAATTTTTAATTTATTTAAACATCAGAAAGTGTTTTAATTAAAATCCGTTAAGTGTGTAAATTTTGATTAGACACGGAATTTATTTCACTTCTAAATACTAAACAACTTTCTTACAATCTTATTCAAACACAAATAATTTAGTAATTTACTGATAAATCATAGTACTCAATTGATGCCAGCACAAAAACTAACATAACAATCTTTCTATACTTTAAAACAATAAATTCAATGCACCTCAAAGGTCAATGCCCTCTTCAATTAATACGAAAAGTACAATAAAAATTATAAATCAAGACCGGTTTAATGCGAAGTCTTATCGGATTGTTTTTTGCACCCTATCCCTTGCTGTAGGGCCGTTTGTCCCTTAGTCGGAGGGCTAAGGTCCCTACTTTACGCACATGTGAAAAAAATTTTGAAACATGCCCGCTGATAGTCGTCAAATTCATAAATAACTGCATAAAACTTATGTTAAAAGTTTTAAATTATAGATTTTCAAAAGAAAACTGTTATTTGTGAAGTTATTGTTTATAATTTAATATTGAAATGAAAATAATCGTATGAGAAGATACTAAGAGCATTTTATTGCATTAAATCTCCCATGGCAATAATTAAAATGGTTATTAAAAAGATTTGTTACAAAGAACCGCAACAATTGCGATTCAATTAATTATTTATAACTCCATTTCAATTGTATAGAAAACATCTCATAATTGTGAAACAGTCTCCGCCTTTGTTTTAATCTATCTAAGGTCGTAATCATTTAATCTAAGTATCGTGTTAATTACTATTAACTTAGTGTCATTACGTGTAATCAATCACCTGATATAAATTGTCGCTACTTAGTTTTCATCAATTCATTTGGCACCTAGACAAGCCAGATGCACTGTTGAATACACAAATCTTATTCAATTATTCATCGATTCTCACAAAACTTATCTCAATACATGCAAAAATAATTCCATCTCAGGATTCGAATTCTAAGATACACTTATTAATTTTTTATTAACTTCAAATATTATCCGCTATACCTTTATTTTAACCGTGTATCTTGTAACTAATGTAATATAGTTATTTAAGTACATTTATTCACTAAAATAAACAACGTTGCAATAATATTTTAGAAGTTTTATAATCAATGAATAATTTTGCAAGTTTTACACATGTTTATAATCAGAGCTGTACTCGTATTTTAGCTGCAAGCTTTGCACTCATTTCTTTTCCTTTCATTATATTTTTCTTCATCCTTCCATTTCTTTTTTTTCCTATACGTTGCGAGCTTTGCACTCAGGCCCCTGGCCTCATCGCCCGGCTCCTTCGGGTGTCATTTCACTTGCAGACGCGCCCTCTACCGTGACCAAACGAACACAATCGTCTTGTTCTCGAAACAACACAATTTATAGTTATTTCATATACGTAATTGACTGTAAAGGATAATACACCGACATTTTATATTGCGATTGAAGTATGCTAATACTTATTTATCCTTTGCTTGCGCTAAGAAGGATATAAATGTAATTATAATAAATTGCACTAATCGGCTCAGGGAAGAGTAAGGGGAATTTTTAAATTATTATGATTAATGCTATAAGGAAACCTATGGTATCGATTTAATTAAGAAGTAATATTACTTTCTTTATTTAGTCATTAGAAAATTTTGCAGACGGCTAGTTTTTTTCTGTTAATTAGAAAGTGCAATCGTAACTAATACACTAGTGGTCTACTTAGCAAAATTTAACTCCGTGTTGGCCTTTTTTACAGTTTTTTGCGCACCAGAGGAAATAATACTTTTAGTTATTTATGCAAGACGTTACAATGCAACCGGAGCGGACAATGTAATGCGGTAAAACGTTTTTTGCTCGCCAAGAAATCATTATTACATTTTACTGCTTTCAAACAAAAAAGTGCAATTTTATCTAGATTTTTTTCACGTCTGCTGCATTTCTAGCGCACTTCGTAGACAGTAAAAATCAATATAGGGACATAAAAATGATAATCACTTTAAAAAAACTACAATAGATTTGAAATTTGTTATCCAATACATCTCGAGATAGAAAAGTTTTTATATTGAAGTAGGAACATCCACTATCAATTGCTTAAAAGGTTATTGCTCGGATTCACATTGTTGCGGCAAACTTATTATGATGTTTACGACTTTGAGAGAAATATTTTCTTCGGAAAGTGTTCGACGGGGAAACTTTTGCCACTTTGTTTTAGTTCGCCCGCGCCCGACACGTGTGCGGTGCACGCCGCAATCAAGCGCGCCCTCAGGACGCGGCGAACATTCGCGGGCGCCCCTCGCGCGACCCCACGCGAATTCCCCTAGTTCCAAATGCACAAAAAAGTCAAAATAACTCCATTTTTCACGCTGCTACTCGGCAAAAGTTTCCCTCGCCGCGAAACACGTTCAAAAAATGTTTTAAGCAGATTAAAAAGTTGGTCGCGGCTCGGCCGGCTCCGGGCCTAGCACCACCGATCGAACACTTCACAACTTTCACATTAGCAGTAACAAAGTAGTGAAGTCTAAAATAAATTAATTACGTAATGCGATGCGAATGGAAAGTTTAGCAGGGTGCGGGGGTGGGAGGCGCCGGCGCGCGGGTCGGGGGCGTTCGGCGGGAAAACTTTTACGAGCACTCACCCTCTCCTCCTCGCGGATCATCTCGGCGATGCCGGGGCGGATGTCGACGTCGTCGGCGTGCAGCGGCGGGCCGGCGGGCGCGGCGTGCGCGGCGTCCGGCGGCAGCTCCGGCGGCGCGCTGGGCGTGCTGGGCGAGCGGCGCGGGCTCGGGCCCGGGCTGCGCTCGCCCGAGCGGCGCCGCGCCTTCGCCGGCGACTCGGGCTCGCGGCTCTGCGGCCGCTTGGACCCGCGCTCCACGCCGCCCGGCCGCAGCACGGCCTGCTCGCCGCTCACGTCCGTCAGGCCCCTGATCTTCAGCGTCTCGGCCACCTTCAGCAGCGCCGAGATCTGGTCCTGCGACACGTTTATCTCCCCGCGGTACATGAAGTCCACGACCGCCTTCAAGTCGCAGTACTTTATGTCGCGCATTATTATGATCGGGTGCCGGCAGGGGTTGTCCATGAACAGCGACTGGAAGTAGGGGCTGCACGCCGACAGCACCACCTTGTGCGCCTTCAGGCTCTGGCCCTCGCACGCGAGCGTGACGTCCACGAAGGACTCGGTCTGGAGGAGCTGGTCGAAACAGTTGGCCAAGTTGCTCTGGTAGTTGTTCCAGCGCAGGCAGAATTGTTGGGGCGAGCCATCGGCGTCCCGGCTCTCCATCGCCGCGGGTTCCTCCTCGGCGGGCATCGCTCTAGCGGCAGTATGGCATCTGCAACGTAAACGGTGTTCGATAAGAGGCGCCACACGTGCGGCGCCGGCGACGACTCGCGAGTCACTGAGCGAGCTCGCGGGTGCGGGGCGGCGCGGGTGGCGGGGGGCGGGCGGTGGGCGGGGCGCGCGGCTGGCGGCGGCCAATGGCGCCCGCGCGCCGCCCCTGGCCACGCCCCCCTGCGTCCCGCGCCGCGCGCCCCGCATCGATCGTGAGCCTTCGTCGGCGGCGCCCGCGCATCTAAACCACTCCATTCTTTTAACACACGATTGATTTACTTTAAAATCATTAATTTCCAACACGACTTATGAATGTGGAGCTATCGACTCCGACTGGCCGAGTATTTATAGCAAAAAATAATGAAACTGAAACGATCGATCAATTGATATTAATCAGTCCAGCCCGTCGAAGTATGTAGGTGCACAAATTAATGAGTCATTAACTTTTGTTTACGTTGAATGATCATGATTTGTTAATTAAAGTCAATCATTGGTAATAATTAAATTACAATCAAATGTGCAGAAATAGATTTAAGATTAACTTAGGTAGGTACCTACGTAAAGTGGGCGCAAAAATTGATTTATGCAGTTTACTCGTATTATTTTTAATTTAAGTTTTCAAAGTTTTCTGACAACCTAATTTTTATTTCTGATTTTTAAGAACTCTACATTATAGTCAGACTGGTAGATATATTTACACACTTACTAATACTATGGTACTTACCTAGGTAAGTATTTACAACTGCAGTTACAAACTTCAAAATACGAAACTGGAATAAACAACTTTTTTTATTTAAAGGCGACTTTACACCAATAAAACAAATTGACTCATTTATCTATGCACCTTTTTCATCATATTCTACGCTTTTAAACCTTGACAGCTTGTAAGTACAGACAACAGCACACCAAGCTTAACACTATGCCCTCTTATTATTATTGCAATAAGTGCTATTTTGCATCATTCATGTATAAGTATGATGTGCTGTCGACTGTACAGATACACTGTTTCCAGCTGGGCCTGATAACAAGGCAGCGTATGACATAGAGACTGCACACAGCTGACACACGGCGTGACGCAGCGCGACGTAGACGTGACGTGACTTCGACGTGACGTGACGTTTTCTTACGAATTGCATTATCGTGTGTGTAGAGCTTTAAGTTTTGTTTAAAAGTTAAGTATGTATTTGTAAAGATTTGTTAAGGCTAGTAATATGTTATTATTTTTTACCTGTGTAATGGACTTTTGAATTAAATAAATAAAATTTTATTCTAATTTAGGTATAACGAAGTATTTTTAGTAATTTAGGATAAGTAGGCTTAATGTGATGCAAAGCGACGATTCTTACAATATGAATACGTCTCGTCGCCTTCACGTCACGCTGAAGTCACGTCACGTCAGCTGTGTGCAGAATATTATCAAAAACTTTGATAAGTGCTTAAATCAGGGGAAAGCTTGAGTAATAGAAGATGTAAGTTTTTTCAAGTACAATAAAGACCAGTGCTGATGCATTTGAAATCACAAAGCACATTTACACTGTGGGGAAATTGTCCAAGTCAAGTCAAAAAAACAGTGGGGTGCATCCCCGTGCATTTGACTTGACTCGGCTAATTTCCGCGCAGTGTAAATCCGCCAATAGAGTTTCCAAGTGTGTATAAATAATACTTAAATTAATTGTTAATTAGAGCGACACATTAAACTATCTATGTTTAGGTACTTGTAATAAAAAAATATCTAGAAATTATCTACACTGAAAAAGTCACCGTTACTTCATAGAAAATTCAACATTGGTTTGTGCTAGATTATGAAGTCATGTGTTGTTTGGAGTTAAGGTGTCTGATTTCAAAATAGGTAGGTACTCTTTTAATTATTTAATTATTGATAAAATATGTCATTGATTCCTCCGTGTGTTAGCAACAATTTGGTTTTAGCATTATGATTTAGATTTGATAGTTGAAAAAGTTCCAGTGATTTAAGATGTTTACGAATGAGACCGATTTTAAAATATAAGATTAACTAGCTTTTGCCCGCGGCTTCACCCGTGTGAAATTTCGTTTGTCACAGATCGTCATAAATTATAGCCTATTATGTTATTCTGGGTTATAAACAATAATACTGTAAAGTTTCATCAAAATCCGTTCAGTAGTTTTTGGGTGAAAGAGTAACAAATATCCAGACATCCAAACATTCGCATTTATAATATTAGTAGGATTAAAAGTATAATTATATTTCTATTAATAATACTTTTAAATGAACTTTTATAGGTAACAATCTGCAAGAAGCTACATGTATTTTTTGACAAAATCACAGTTAAACTAGAACTAAGTTTTATTTATTTTGTTTTGTGGTACGATGACTAATATTTCTTTCATTAATTTATTTATTTACTGGCACATAGCGACAATGCATTTAGTATCGAACAAAAAGAACAAAGCAAACGAAGTTGCCTTCTCCCATGGTATTTACCATAATATTTCAATAATGTTTGCCGATTAGCAGAACCGCATCAATCGATCAACTTGGAATTACGAAAAACAAATAACAAACTGTAGAAACATCGCAAGTCACAATCAATGTCAACAAAACCAACACAATGCATCTGTAGACTATTATGAATTTCTTAAAATTAAGTTACTTGCCACTTCACTTAATCACAATACTTAAGTCAGTCTTCATAATACCAACAGCAACACTTTGAGATATTTAAAAGCCTAAAGGACTCTCTAATGACTCTATACACCTTCGCATCTTTGTTTCTGCTCACTTATTTGTAAATAATTATTTAATTATTTATTAATAGGTAGGTACAGTTATATTTCTTGGCATGAAACGCAATATTTTTTGTCAAGTGGTAAAACTTCATGAAATAGTCTGAAATTCAAAAAGCACAAATGCGAATGATATTTAACTGTTGCATGAATAAAATATCATCGCGTACGCGTACGTATTGAACTGAATACGTTTCCGAAGTCAAACTTAAACTTACTACCGATCAAATAGTGGAGTTTCCTGTAGGAAAAAGAATTTCCTATTTCAAGGTAGCATTTTCACAGATTTCCTCCCGCAAACTAGGTTTCGTTACGCGGCTGCGGCTTGTTAGCTAGCACCTACAATATCGAACTACCACGCCATTCTTGGTACCTACCTAAAGGGTTCGCATCCTGTTCGGGGCAAAATTATTAGATTTATACTAGTGGCATAGGATAGTGCATTAATTGATACGAACAGTAGGTTCGTTCGTTTCAGCCGAAAGACGTCCACTGCTGGACAAAGGCCTCCCCCAAGGATTTCCACAAAGACCGGTCCTGCGCCGCTCGCATCCAGGCACCTCCTGCGACCTTCACCAGATCGTCGGTCCACCTAGTGGGAGGCCTGCCCACGCTACATAACAGAACAATAGGTACATAGGAATTTATAATTCTTCTTGTTATCAAAAAATTTCTAACGTCAACTAAACAGAGCTCGTTTGACGTCAGAAAATTGGTGCGGCAGTACTTAACACGTTCTCAAAACGATATCATAATAATATTATTTTCGTTTAAGAGCTGCCAATCCTTGAAACACAAATGCATCCAACAGGCTGTGATTACGTCGAAGGCGATTTATCTATCAGCAGCGTCCTTGAGGCGAATTGACCTATTACCACTCTGACGCACGTTTCCACACAAAATAACAGGGATGTTATAGATATCCGTAACCGTAACCGAAACTATCGGATATCCGAAATAAATAATATCTGTACCCGTAACCGAAACTGATTCAAAGGTTTCGGATAAAGGCGGAGTCTAAATCATAATATTTTTAATATTGTTACTTGTCTGGCATCCCCTGGCACCATTCTGATATACCCGCCTATTTTACCTTTATCATAGGTACCGTCATACATAAAATGGCTATGTGGGTCGCGCAGCATCTTGCTATTAAAATTTTACCATTTTAAAATTCTAATATCCGTAACCGAAATTATCTGAAACTTTCGGATAATCCGAAATGATTTACTATTCGTAACCGTAACCGAAACCGGTATAATATTATTCTAATATCCGTAACCGTATCCATAACCGAAACTTCATATCCATAACATCCCTGCAAAATAAGCGGCCCCGATTGCTTGATTCTTCACAACAGGACACTAGCACTTGAAGTGTGATCTGCTCGCAATTTGTTCCAATTGACACGATGCAGATACACCGATTGCACCGAACTAAACTTAACCTCATAAGATTTTAAAATTTCGAGTTCCATGGACTCTACCTACACACCAAGCCCGCCGAAGCCAACTGTCTACAATCTACATGTCATGTCGGCGATGGTCAGCGGGTTTGGTGCAGACTGCATTACAACAACGGGACTATTCCCACCTCTCGTTCCCACCACTGCAACTCCTGCGAAGCCAGGATCTACAGCTTGACCGCCATAAAAACCCAACCAATGAAGGTCAAGTTTGTCCCGGGGGAAAGTTAAACTGTCATTGGACCCGCAACGAAATTAATCAGAAGAACATAGGAGGAGTTCGAAATTAAGGTTCGACTTCCCTCCTTTGCAAAGCGGATGACAGGTGACAAACAAAGGTTTAAAACCTGAAAAGATTATGCACCACGGACAATAAATATCAATTTATGGGGGCCTATCATATGAGCAATTAGCAACTACCTGCCAATAATATTTTTTTTTGCCTTACAACAGTCTACTTGTGACCATGGCTGTAGAGACACAGACGAAACGTCAAGCTGTAAGTACTCGTGTACTTCATACAAAAATCTTTGACCAGCTGTTTCAAACCCAGCGGTCCAGGGTTCGATTCCCAGAAGGGGAAGATTTTTCTATTTAGGATGGTTGGTGGTAGAGCTTGTTCTAAGTCCGCCTGGCAAGCTACCACCATCTTATCTGTCTGTCGCCATAACAACAACGTTAACAGCCTTGTTGTGACAGCAGTAGGAGGTAAGATAGCCAGTTCCTCTGTAGTTCCGAATTCCGAGTGAAGCTCGCTTCCACCTTCGCCC